GGGGTGTGCGAGGTTAATGAATGTGCCCGCATCACCTGGATTTGGAAGGGCTGTCCGGGCGCTGTGAAGTATGGCCAAATATATCGTCGTGATGTGGCTGAAACACCAATGTGCTTTTTAAGACCGCAGGCTCGGAACTACTCAAATGACAAAGGAGTTTCTCTGTTTCAGGACGTCACGCAAGGCATGCGTTCCGTCCAGGCGTATCGACTGCATCCCAGATGCCCCACCAAAGCCAGTCGAAGGACACATCTCAGATGGTGCATGGACTGTTGTGACAGAGGCCTTCGCTGAAGTGTTGTCCAATAACTGGTTCATCACATGTGGATGTCACGTCACTGACCATGTGATTGGCCGCCAGCCGAAGCTGATCCCGCCTAAAGGCTCTCACCTCGATCCAGGTATTTTTTCCTGACGTCACCCCAATATGGTAGCTCGCATGGATGGCGGCAGGCTGCAGTCGCAGCGCACACATTTGGCAGCGGCCGCATCACCGGCACCAAATGACCTCGTTTGGGCCGAGCGCACCATGGTCTCCCGCGCTCTGGCGAAAATTGTCTTTTCTAGCGTTCGCCAAGTTCTTTCATCATGGTGTCGTGGTGCTGGGCTCCGCCACGGATCAAAAGTAAAGGGAAGCGGAGGCATAGAGGCGCACATATTTGGAAGCGCAGGGGCTCTGTGATCCTTCCGTAACGAATTCAGGGATTCCTGAGACTGAGGAATCGAATGAGCGTAACAAAAGAGAGCCTAATTGCACGTTAGTCACGACCCCTACAGCAAATGAAAACGCGGTATCAGACAGACCTAGGGAAAGACAAACAAACGTCATGGCAAACAAGCATACATCATTAAATTATTTGTTGCTGCCATTTACGGGGCCCACGAGCACTCCTATTGGGGATGGTGGGAAGGTCAGCCCCTGCTGGTGAAAACCCCGCAGAATTTCGCCAATCATGTGTGCGCAACCAAGGTGGCGCACGCTGAAGGATATCACAATTTTAAAAAAATCCACGCACCACCTCAGTCATGGCGTTACTTTGCAAAATATGGGTAGTTGCTCCACCTTTCTCTCCTGTGGTAGATCCTGTGCTTTGATGTTCATGCTGTCTCTCCGTCTGGCTTTTGACATATCTGGCCTCAACCTCCAACTGCGCTCAGCGTTACTGCGACTGCGCCGATATCCCGCAATCAAGACCAGGGTGTACCGTTGTTCAGACCACTCGAGTCATTGCGCCATCAGAGCTCTCTCTCGCACCTAGGTTAGGAGTGTCATGGTGTCGTCAGAGCACTCTCGTACCTAGATTAGGAGTCACAGCGCCATCAGAGCAACTCCCGCACCTAGATTAGGAGTCACAGCGCCATCGGAGCACTCCCGCACCTAGATTAGGAGTCACTACGCCATCAGAACTATCTCGTACTTAGGTTAGGAGTCGTAGCGCCATCAGAAGCACTCTCGCATCTAGGTTAGGAGTGTCATTGCGCCATCGGAGCACTCTCGTACCTTGGTTGGCAGTCATTGCATCATCAAGCACTCTCGTACCTAGCTTAAACAATCATGCGCGCCACCAGAGTACCGTCATACCTAGACTAGAGGTCACTAGATTTTACTGCATTAGGCGAGACTTTTACGGAGTCATACGTGGCATTCAGAGCATACCGCTACCTGGGCGAAGGGCCCCCAAGCGTGGCCGCGTCTGCGGAAGTCCGGCTCGGCCGTCGCTGCGCGGACGGCGCCGGTGCCCGCCGCGGCCGAATCTGGCTCGGCGCAGCCAATGAAATGATTGCCGCGCGGACCGGCCCGATGCGCCAGCCCACTGAGTTATTCACGATCGCCGGGACGCCTGTGCGGCCTGGATTATTCAGCATCCATCCGGCGCCGCGCCGTTCCGGGCGTTGCTGTTCCGCCCGCGGGCGTAATCGATGCCGTGTGCTCCACTTGGCCAGGCATCAGCGCCACCCGCCATTGTGCCGACCATCATATACAGGAGGTCTACCTGCAGGCAGACACCTGGCAGCGCCGCGTGCAAACACGTGACGTCACGGGCGGCGCCGTGATAAGGCGTGGGGGAGGCGCCGCCGCGAGGTGGAGAGCGAGGACTACCTCGTCGTTCAGACAGTCAGTGTCACAGGAGCAGCCGTGTCGTCTCGTGAGGCGAAGTGGTCACCTCCTTAGTCAGACAGTCGGCGCCACAGGAGCAGCCCGTGTCCCCCGCGAGGTGAAGTAGTCACCTCGCTCAGATAGTCAGCGTCACAGGAGCAGCCGTGTCCTCCCGCGAGGTGAAGTAGTCACCTCCTCGGTCAGACAGTCAGCGTCGCAGGAGCAGCCGTGTCCTTGTTCTCGACGATCTTGGTAGGGCTCGATGTAGGCGTCGTTTGCCGCACAAGCGTGCCGCAGTGCATCTGCGCGAATTGCTGTCGGTCGCCGCGCGGTGCGGTCGGTCGCCGCGCGGTGCGGTCGGTCGCCGCGCGGTGCGGTCGGTCGCCGCGCGGTGCAGTCGGTCGCCGCGCGGTGCAGTCAGTCACCGCGTGGTGCGGTCGGTCGCCGCGCGGTGCAGTCGGTCGCCGCGTGGAATAGTCGGCCCAATGCGGGCGGTCCGTAGGCGCGAAGGCGGATGACTCGCTATCGCGAGCACGCAACTCGACGACAACGGATCCGTCATCATCGCCTTCGGGTGATTTATATAGCCATCAATAGTCTAACCCTGTTTAACAGATCAGGTTCGTCTGGGGTCAGGTGGTACCTGAGCCTAATGGCTCGAAGAAATGGTGTCTCTAAGCTGTCTCTGACTGATTTGGTTTTTGTTGTGTGAGCTATGCTGAACTGACCAAGCACCTCTCGCTGCAGGAGAGGCTGGATAATCTGTTCATTGACCAGTGCGTTCAACTCTGGAGTTTGGTCTCTGTCAGTAACGTACTGGGTAGTTTTCCGATGCCTGTCACGTTCGCTGTTGTCTGGATGTTTCTGAGCCCGTTTTGCTTCGGCATAAGGGTGACTGAAATGTCGACCGATGTAGATATATCTGTGGTTTATCGCTTGTCAGGGTTTTCAGGTGTTCTCATATCAGGCGTCGTTTGGGTGTTCGTTAAAACGGTGGTAAACATTCGTATTGCTTACACGATGCACGATGAATGTAACGAGCGTAGGTCAGCGTATACAGGAGAAGGGCTTGAAAAACAAGCATTGAACAGCGGTTTTGCGAGCTTTTGGTGTGAGAAATATTCCAAACCTTAACATACTTCAAGAACGCTCGCGGAAAAGATTGACGATGTAGGGAATGCCGAACAATAGCTTTTGGTAACAAATGTGTTCCATACTCTGGCAGTCGCGTAATACAGGAAATATTCGGTTTAAAATGATGAGAACGTATTCTTACAGGTATTTCAAAACACTTTAACACAGTTCCAAGCATTTTGCGCGGCGGCCCTTCGTAAAAATATTTGGTCTATCTCCTTGAGACTGATTTAGGTATTGGT